ACTTGATGCGCCATTCTGTGCGAGACTATCGTCAGTAAGTGAAGGAGATCGAGGAGAACAGCAAGCCACTCGAAAAGAGACAATAGCTTTTGATTTGTCTCGAGAGCGGCGCGCACCTGGTACGAGGTCTTGCTCGAGCTCCTTTGCAAACTTCATGACGTAGTGGCGCCCGTTGCGCAGCGCGGCCTAAGGTACTGGAAACAGCGTTTACCAAGCGAATGGAAGAGGCAACGCCATGTAAACCTTATGAGGTGTATTGAAGTATGGGCATGTAGGATCTGTGTGTATTCTAGGGTATCGTCGAGGTATCCCAATGAGTCGAGTCGCACCGCCTCGTTCTTAGGTTGGCCCTTGTTTTTGTCGACGGGGGATGGGAATTTGGGCGTTTTGTTTTAGGCTTGTTTTTTCTTCGAGGTGCGCGCTTGGTCGGAGCGTTCGCCTTCTTTCCACAGCCCACAGGGCAGCCAAGCTTTCTATGCTTTGCTTTGCTTTCAGTGCTTGCAGCTGCCAGCGTCCCCCGCCTTTTCTTTCGTCTGGTGTTCCAACTTCCCCCTGATGTCTTATCGTTATCTGATTCCGCGAGTCAGTCCTAAATCGGTTGACGACAACCATTGTCGCCAATCGCAGTGCAGTGTTACAGCACGTCTTCGCTGTGACTGCCGATACCCGGCGCTGGAGGTCGCTGTATCCCAGGCCTGGGCGTTACCTAATGGTACCTTATCACCCTCGCGTAAGGCGACGGGAAGGCAAACTCAATTGACTCTGCCCAAAAACGGTGAAGCTTATGTCAGCTCGGAAAATGCGCCCCCCGAATGGTACAAAGTACTTGGGAAGCTGCAACTTTCTTTTCCTCGCTGCATCTTGTGATCCCTTCATCTTGACGTTTGACCACCCCTCTTAATCTCCTTGAGGGTGCCATCTTGTTGAGCTCCAAGGCTATAAAACCCAGCAATGTATGGTATCTCGAGCTTCTCGATTTCAAGTCATTCAACAAGACCACCCTGCACTCGCGAACCGTCTCATCCATAACATCATGCTGAGACCTCGGAACAGAGTTCAAGGGTTCATCCGACCTCAACATTGCATTTCTCAGGGTCCTAAATTGTCACGCTACCATCGCCATCTGTCACTGTCACCCCCTAGTCACATCTTGGCTTAATCTGGCTCGGCATAGACGGCCTGCTGATATGTGACTTGTGCCGCAAACCATTCGACCAACCAACCAGCAGACAAGGGCCTGCCTGCATACATGATGCATCCATGACCAAGTCACGCCAGCAATGTCCCAGACGCTCTGGCCCCGGAGACATTGCCTGAATGGCCTCATGTGAGTCCACAGCTGCGTCAAGCTGCCCATTCGTCACCAACGGACTTTCTTCTGCAAAGACAAAGGATGGACATGTGTACGACGGGGAGACGGCGACGAGCTTCCGCCCATGAGCCTTCTCAACCGCCGCCTTGAGTCAACGATCCATGCAGTCTTCATGATACAACACCGTCAGCCGCCTGAACAAGGGCAGGCTAACCAAAAACCGAGACTTGGCCCTTTCAAATATGCAAAGTTCCGACAAGCACTCAATACGGCCTGTTCATCGCCAGCTTACAGCAAACCAATGTACGGGTCGTTGGGCCGTCTCGACCCGTTCGATCCTCTGGCGCTTTCTGCCCCCAGTGGTCTCCAGTGCTCCACGAATGGCGACGCGGCCGGGCGGAGCTGTCGTCAAGGATAACTGTCGATGCCCTGCACTTCACTACATCGGGCAGCCCGTCGACCGGGCGGCCCTCCCCCCGTTCCCCGGGGACAAACACACAAGGCAGCCTAACAAGAGCCTAGGGGGCCAAGATCATGGAGGCTCGAGAAGGTGTCCGCCTTATCGAATGGTCCACACGATGCGATTACGTGGAGAGAACATGGAGGCAGTCCAGTGAGGAGAAAAGAACGCCGTCGACGGGAGGCGGGCCAATAGTCGATTGTCTCCCACACCTTCAAGGTCGCCATGGGCAGGGCCGAGCCTTTCAACGGTGTTGCGGCGGCTCCTCATCAACTACCTTAGTGTATCGAAGCATTCGCACATCCACCCGTGTCACGAAATAGGAATAGCATCAACACTTTATAGTTAGCCTATTACGTGCATTATTACCTAATTCTCTTATTTATTTATATATAATATCTTTTTTACTCGATTTTATTTAAGTTAATATAGTTAAGCTATTTTTTTAACTATATTTTATATAACTTAGTTATTAATTATTATATAACTAACTAACGTATTGTAGCTTATAATAATTACAAGGCCAGCTTTTTGTTACGAGCTGGACAAGGCAACCAACTGTGGCACAAAGCAAAAGCTTCGATAATGATGACTCCGGTCATCATTGTCCCTTGTTCTGCATATATAGCTACGCGCCCACAGTGACAAGTTGCGGCGGGCGTAACACTTTTATCTAAAACTTTTTATTATAAATAGTTAGTTACAGTAAAATAATAAATACTTTTAAACCTATATTTAACAATATTAAATTTATTAGCTAGTTGTAGTAACTATTTCCTTTGCTCGATTTTATTTAGGTTAATTGTTACGACCCAACATGAAGACCAGGGCGTGCCCCGCTGACGCCTAGCGGCTACGGCGCATCATATATGCAGGACGGGACGGAACATTGGGGAAACCCCAGGAACGGAAGAACTATGGTATAAGTCACGTGATGATAAGAGATATGATAAGGGATAAGGATATGTTGGATATGCGACATATCCAACCGAGTCAAGGATATGTTGGATATTCGGCATATCCAACATATCCAGACAAAGGGGACTGTTCAGCACTGTTCAGTTAGGATCGGACTTGTATATAAGGATGGACTCGAGCTGGGCTCTAGGACAGACTTTCCATAGCTTCTTCAGCAATTAACTTCGTATCAGGATTAACATCCGCTTTCAGCTACTACCTTGACAAGACTACGATTGATCACCGAAGCCTTACCTACCCTTACGATTGACAGACATAGCTTCCCTGAAGCTATCCCCGACTACGATTACTGTTACCAGTTCCGCAGCCTCAACTTCTGCAAACTACCCCTACGACTAGCTGGCCGTAACATTAATATAAGCTACTTTTATTATACTTTATAACTCATGCCTATTGCTACGTGCCATAACTCGTAAGAACCCGTGTGTGCCAACGGCGAGGTGGCAATGATAGCTTGACGCCATGCAGCCTGCACATGCACTGGGCGTGATCTCCCTAGAGATATTGGCTTCCAAGTTGCAGCTGCACGCAAGACCGTTCTCCCTTTGAACCCGCTTAGATTCAGGAATGTCGAGGGCAGGAAAAGTGCTTTTCTTCTATCCTTGAGACACTCACACACGATCGTGTCATGCTCACGAGGCGCGGGACCACACAGGCCGAAATAAGACATATCTTGCCTATTCCAACGCCTCATTCCTGGGCGAGATTATCACATTCACCGGCGAGTGTTACCACCCACGCGGTGGCAATAAATGATGGCCGCTTTTTTGGTGTAGGGGAAGTCTAAAACCCGGCCATCATATCTTACCACCGCGTGCCACCTTAGTCGATTTTTGACAGTCCCGGCCATTTTTTGAGCTGTGAAGATAGCAGCAAAGACGCAGCCGTCTCGTTGCTCAATGTTTCGACAGAATAAGCCACGGGTTACCTTGCCTATAAGTGGGCGCGATTTGTGGGCGTGAGGGGTGTACGGGTTCGTCCCCGACTTCCCGGTGATCACCATGAATTCACAAGTTGACCAAGTCGACGAGGACTCGAAGGCTGAAGCGAACACAACCGATGATCTTTGTCTCACCGCGGGAAGCGATCCGCAATGATTCCCGCGCCAACTCGCCCCCTTTCGTCAGCAAGATATGCGATCCCATCGCTATGACAGCACCTGCAGCGAGATGGCAGCTGCACGGTCTCGATGTGCCCTATGTGCCTATGCCATTATGGAAACGAGTGCGCGGCAGACGGCGGATTAGGTTGGGCTGGTTGGTTCGTTGGTTGTAACCTTTTTTGTGCTTTTCTCTGTTGGTACTTGGGTCTTTGGAGACGAATTCCCCAATATGGGACAAGATGGGCCCCCATGTGCCGTATTATCGCATACGCTGCACTCACTCAGCCCAACCCCAACTCAAGGGAGGGCCGGTAACACGAAGAGGGTGGGCTCTTTCTTTGAACGCGGCCTGGGAAAGTTTTGCTTATCCTTGCTTTTCATGGACGAAGCGGCGCATCTTTCTTTACAGAGGGGAAGATGAGCAAGCAGGCGGGCGTGCCATGGTCCATGGGTGATGTGCAAGCCGTGTTTGTTCCTTTTCCCTCTCCACAACCCCCCCTGGTAAGTTTGCTTGGATTCTCAGAACTGCAACTCTGGTTGGACGAGAATGAGAGCTTCTTTACCAAGTTACCGGGACGGTTGAACATCCCACAGCCTTAAATGGTTGCATACGGCTTGCCTCGAGGGCGAAAGTAACTATCTGAGACACTACGAAGCAAACAACTCATCTATATCAGGCCTGGCTTCCCTCTTCAACCCCCCTCCGGAGGGACCCTTGCCTTGCCTGTCCTGTTCTTGTGTCTCTTTTCACCTCCTTATTGATGATCAAGGCCCTTTAAAGAAGGACAACCTTCTGAGTTCTCTCGATCGCTCGGCTCCACACTATACGGTAGACAACCAGCATGGCGCTCGAAAACAGGGTTACGAATCTCGACGATATTATGACTCCGCCGAGTCTGTTATTGCATAGAGCCTCTAAGAAGTGCTTGCGGGTTCTCAGAAAAGCTTCAGTGAGGGAAAAGTCACGGCCTGATGACAAGTCAAGCATCAGTGGAAGATCGTTGGCCAGCAGGTCATCGTTCAGGTCATCTTTCTCAACGTCATCTCTGTTCACGACAAAAACGGCGGAGCAGGATTACATGGCTTTGGACCAGCCTATCGCAGAGGAGCCTATCAAAGAAGAAGTCAGCAGCAGTGATGGTAACGCCATGAAGGAAGGACCCGTCGACGAAGAGTTCACGCAACAAGCCAGTCAGAGAGCGCCGAGAAAAGAGCATCACCAGGGCCAGTCGACCTACTTTCGGCAGCTGCCTCCCGAGATCCGGAATCAGATTTACAGGCATTTCTGGGTCTCGGCCGGAGTCGAACGACACGCCTTTCTACGGAACAGGAAACTCCTGTTTTCTCCCTGCATTACTGACCACAAGGCGCCTGACGAGCGGCAGATTGGAGTTGCCAAAGACTTTGAAAAGTCTTCTTCTACCGCGGAGGTCCAGCCTCACCCGAAATGGTTCAAGAGGATGACTTCCCCATGGTGTAACCACTGGAAGTGCGAAAGGTTATGGGAGGATATCAGAGACGGACGTGAGGTAGACGGGAACAAGACACAAGCTTACATGTCTCTTCTCCTGTCGTGTAAGAGGATGTAAGCCACCTCCCTCTCCCTGCTCCAACGAGCACCTCTTTCTAACCATGCACACCCCATCAGATACAACGAAAGCATAGAATCCTTCAGAGAAGCCAAAACCCTAACAATAACCGACGGCCAAACCCTCCACCGCATCCTCCGCTGGCCCCGCCCCAAATACCTCCACCAAGCTCGCCGCCTCAACATCTCCCTCCGCCACGACAGTGGCAACTTCCTCTACCTCAACGGCGCCTCCATGTGGCACATACTCTCCGAGCAGGACTCGTGCGTCGCCGAGAGCATCTACCTCTGGCTCGACGCCGAGTGTCCCGTCACGCGCCGCCTGCTGCCCGAGTTCCGCGAGCTGTTCAACTGCGTGCCGGCCTCCGTCGCCGCGCGGCTGACGGTTGATTTCCCCTGCGACGCCGAGGACGGGTTCTGGGCGTGGGAGGACGGGACGGAGATTGAGGCGCAGGAGGGGGGCGGGGGCAAGGTGAAGAGGTTGGGGCCGCTGGTGCCTGAGTTTCGGGTTGTTGCGAGGGGGAGGCAGAGGTTTAATGAGACTTCAGCGGGGTATGTTAGTTGTGTTGATCGGGGGAGGCCGAGGAGGAGGATTTTGAGGGCGAGTAATCCGTTTGAGGATATTCTGCTCTATGGGAGAGGGTTCGTTGATGGGTCATACGTCTAGCCGCATAATTCCCCACAAGCTTTGATCGAATTCAATCAAGGTCGCTGTGTTGTGATTTACTATGGATTATACTTCTTCTCGTAAGGTAGGACTGTAACACTGCCCAATGGAAGTGTGTTGAAAACAATTCCAGACTTATTCTTCGGCTGCCGGCGGAACCTCCTCAGTCGTCAACGGCTTCCTCCCGTAGATGGACCAGCTTCACACGTTAGCTTGACATCATTTCAATAGCAGGGAACACTTACATGTTGTAGTAAGCATGGATATTCCTGTCACCAAAGTCCTTCCTTGCCTCCATAGCGAGGATAAAAACCTCTTCCTTCGTCCAGTCCAACGCCCGAGTCAGCGGCGCCATCAGGAAACCCTCCCAATTCGGAGCCAAGTTCTCGTAGTTCCAGATCCCAATCTCCTTATGCTTCTGATCCTTGGGCCAGCCGTTAGTCGGCCACTTGAACCGCTGAATGTGGACGTCTTCGAAGCCGATCTCCTTGAGGACGCTTTCGAAGCGGCTGAATTCCTCAAAGGGGGAGCCGAGCTTGGCGAGCCCCTCGGACCAGAGACGGACGCTCTTCATGAGCGAGGTTTCCTCCGTGAGGGTGCCATCGTCGGAGACGGGGACGGCGTCGATGTCGTTGAGTTCGAGGTAGCCGCCGGGGTTGAGGTTGCTGTGACTGCTTTAGTATTGGTGGTGTTTTGAAGAAGGATGGGGACCTGACTCGAAGCATTTCTTGAGGTATCGCTTCCAGTTGCCGATGCTGCCTGTCATCATTCGACTGTGGATATAATCAAAGGGCTTTGAGAAGGTCCACGGCTCCTCAATATCATCGATTTCGAACTGGACGTTTGGCGGAACACTACAACGGAGGTGTCAGTTCAAAAGAGTCTCTGACGACTCGGGCTATGTTCTCATACAATGCTGGCTGTACAGCCGACAAGTCGACGCCAATGACCTGAGCCAAAGTCAGTCTGTGTAGCCTCTAGCTCACATCATATTTTAATAGTCACCATACCTCGGCCTCGGGGTGTTCATCGCCAAAGTCAATAGCCCATATGCCAGATCCCGTACCAACATCGAGAGTCCTGCCGACTTTTGCGTCTGAATTGTTCGGCGGCGCAGTGCCGAGCCGATCATCAAATGTGCGGATAAAGAGGTTGTGCTGGAGGTCTGATGTAATCGGATCAGTCTCATTTGTCTCAAAGATTGGCGCGTTATGTTGTAGTAATCTATCAGGAGGATGACGTACCGAGGCGATCATTCTCTCTCTCGTCGTTGGGGGCGGCGTACTCTTTCGTAGTCATTAGTATTGGTTGTCATGTCATGCAATGGTTTTAGACTCACTGCCATCCTTATATTTGTGATAGGTTCGCCCGTTCTCGATGCGATACTCTAGAATGGAACTGGTCACGCTCGTCGTAGATGAAGCGATGCTTGACTGTTGAAGCACGTGTGAGTTCATATGAGTATGCCGCTGAGAGCCTGGGACTCGGTGATCAAGGGACGGGCTTTCTTACCTGGGTGACCGACGAGCCGTCGGTATCAGTCTGGAAGAGGGTCAATATTGAACTTTCACAACTTCATGGACCTTTTCCGTGAAATCATACCTCATCTACCGCAAGATGGTCATCGTTGTGGGCCGCCATGGTGTATTATCGATGTCTTAATGACTTGGCGCAGTGAGATCTGGCGATGGCGCTTATCACTTTGTCCGTCGTTGAAGAAGATCGTGGGGTTCCAGCGAGAAAGTGGGCGGAGGTTGCGCTGAAGAAGCAGGAGTGAAAGAGCATCGGATCATTCGGTAACTGGTCATACTTGTATGCCATTTCTACCCCTCTTCTCGCTAAGGTGGACAGGAAAATGCATGTTGGATGTGATCAAATCCCACGGTTGGTTCTGCGTCCCCACCCCTGCAAGTTGGGAGCGTCTGCATGCGACAGTGGGTGGCTATGTGGCGTGAGTCCAACTGTTTGCTCATCGTCGGGTGCGCTTAGTCCAGAGCTTTTCTTCAGGAAATGAAATTACGCCTTTATTTTCCGATCGCCAACTCGAAAGTTTCCTCTAGGTGCTTTTCGTTTGTTCTTGAATTATGTAAATATATCTTGGGCACATATTTTGGCATGTGATCGAGTTCCAACTACCATTGCCCAACACCCTCAGCTAAATCGTCGCGAGTCTTCTAACAGAGCTTACTTTACTCCAGTTTGAAAAGCAGAATACTAGAACAGGAACAGTAACATCTTGAGCGGGAGATACAAGAAGAGAGTCGCTCAAACTTTTCGCCCCCTCTGCCAATCACAGTGCTTTTGGTGTAGGAGTTCAGCAAATCTTCATTGTTTCTCCGAGCTGAGCGTAGATGATAGCACATGATCATGAAGTGGACGTTGAATTGTGGACTTTTCCAGGAGCTTTGACTTCCCAAACCCGTACGTGGGGACAGCCTATAATAGTAGTAGTCCGGACTTGACTTGGAGCTTTTGCAATAACCAAGAGTCAGTGACTTAATGCTGTATTGGAAATACAAGACCCGGACTTGGAACATATAAAACGGGCGCATCAGTTGACTTGAGTTGAGAAGAACTAGCCAAAGTGACACGAAGCTCGACTTGCAATACTATAATAAAGCAGAGGCAAGTTCGTCCATGATCATCGGGTTGCCATGGTAAAAGAACAGAAATATTTAAAGGCTCGAAATTTTCCGTTATCGGTTTGACTATAAAAAGTTGAACTAGTCAAAGGAAAGCTTAAGCATACGGTGGCAAGATAACATGTATTGCTCCTGTAATATTGAACATTGCATCATTTACAACCCATGGAGCAGCACCAAAGGATCTGCTAAATGCCTCGACTTGCCAATTCATGGATAGCGCGAAGCTGGTCCCTAAGCTTCATTTGGAAGCAAATTTCTCCAGTGGCAACGAATGATCCAAATTTCCCCATCCCCTAAATCGAAGCTATTGAGAGAATTCAGGCGTCCCCTCGTGGTTAGTGTGAATGCTATTGATGAACCAGCTTAACTCCGCATTCGGCTTGGCTCCCGAAGTCTTGGCTACTAAGCGAACGATACGAGCACTGCCTTGCGGAGCTCCATCGGCTTTAAACGCCGTCCACACAATTTCGTCGGCCGTCGCCAATGTCAGCATCAGCGAACACGATCGCATGGGCTAACGTAGACTCGGAATCTTGGAATTTCCCGCCCTTACGATTTCCCGCCAATATTGGATCGTCAATTCAAGATCTGTAAAAGACCTGTTGGATAGGTGTACCTGCTGCCAACAGATTTCGCTTCTCTTCCCACGACCACACGGCAGCTTCCAGGGGTTCGACCGCGTCAGAGCGTCTACCTACGGATAAGAGCCGGTGACATATCCGGCACGAAGGTGTCGAGGGGCCTCGGACATGATGGAATTTCTTGCGGAGCGGAAGACGGCGACGAAAGTTTCGAAGAAACCGCATAGGAAATCCAAGCTTGGGTGCCATACTTGCAAGAGGCGTAAGATCAAGGTTCGTCTGATGGCAAACTGCCAATCTGCATGCCATCTCCTCTTTTGGCGATCCCGGGCCCGCCGATGCACCACGACACCCCAGCCATATTTCTGCAATTTGACCCATTCGCGCAACTCCTTCACTACATGTCTGTTCTGCCCGCTAACATTTGCCTCCGAAAGTGTGATGAACTGAAGCCAGCATGTCAAAATTGCGTGCGTCACTTGGTGATGTGCGACTTCCTGCAAAGCCGCTCGACAGCGATATCGTTGCGCAGCATGCATATCACCTTACAAACATCCCTTTACGCCAGAAACGCAGAAGACGCAGCGGCGGCTATGAGACCGGCGGCGGCTATCGACCAAGCCCTCAACTTTGTCGACTTGGAGCTTATCCATAACTTCACTACCTCCGTGTACATGACACTCTCAACAGATAACCTCGTTCGCCAGATGTGGCGAGTCTCTGTAGTGCGCATGGCGCTGAAATGCGAATACGTAATGCGAACCTTGCTCTCCATATCCGCTCTCCATCTGGCCCATCAACGGCCGGAACGCAAAGAGTCACTGGTGGCCAAGGCCTTACTCTATCACCGATCAGCTTCTAGGGAAGCAATGGAGTTGATGAGTACTCTTGACGAACGAAATGCCGAAAACTTGTTCTTGTTTTCGCTTCTCACAATCTTCTTCGGTGAGTGATCCATCCATACCCTCCTTGGTTCGCGAAATACTATCATTGATACTCAATCTCCGTCCTTTCAAGCCCTGTTATCACTCTGGGACTGCGTTTAAGCAACACACTGACTTAAAAAAAAAAAAACTCAGCTCTTGCATCGGGACGTTACCTGAAAGAATCAGTCGTCGTCTGGGAGTCGGCATTTCCGGACTGGACCTTCCTTCTATCCGGAGCTTGTTCTCTCATCAAACTCCTCAACTCCAAGAACTATGAGGGTCCGTTAACTCCTCTATTGACATACGCAAAGGAGCGGTTCTTCACAGCCCGTGACGATTCACGAGCTCGACCAGCCTCCTTGGAAAGTCTGCGAAGACGCGTCAGTGACAGTAATATTGACAAAGACCTGCTGCGCATCCATAATCTGGCAATTGACGAATTGGGGTTCCCTCTTGCCCTTGCTTTGCATGATGGAGGCCGTGGTATGGACATTATGGACATGTTCATCTGGAAGTATTTTGTCTCGGACGAGTTCTTACCTTTGCTTAAAGAACCGAGGGCGAATCAAGCGGCCATTGTTATTTATGCCCATTTCTGCGTCGTGCTGAAGAAATTAGAAAGCCAATGGTGGCTTCAGGGCTGGTCGATTCATCTTATATCACAGGCGTGGGAGTTGCTGGACGAGAGCCACAAGCCGTGGATTCAGTGGCCGATGGAGGAGCTCGGATGGGTGCCTCCAAGCTACTAGTAAACTGTAGGAGATACTATCATGAAACAGCGAATTTGGAAGCCAAAATTTGATAGATACGATCTCTTATCTCCTGCCTCCATTCTCAGTGTTATAATGAATTTGACCTGACGAGAGCTCGTGACGTGCACTCCGCAACTTCCTTCAACCTATTGTGTGTTTAATAGAATCAAACAGACGTCACCACATGCAACTCTAAAACAAAACCTAGTTTTGCTGCTAGCTTTGAGCCACCGTTATATTTGCTAGTTTGAGTAGTTGATTCAATTGACATATTGATTTACTCTCATCTGTGGACTATGGCACAAATGGCTCCATCTCATCAAGGGTTTCCATCTTCCACGCGTAAAAGTAGACCATACTCCAGAATTACCGCATTCTTGAGTTTCTACGCAGATTCCATGGACTTCATTTGTGATTATCAATTGGTCAATACCAAGCCGGGTGGTCAAGGTTTGTGTCACTATGGCAGCATCTTGCAGGCGAGGCGAGGCCTGTATGACGATCTTTGTGCAACGAGAAACGCAACGACTCCTCGGAGCGGCATGACGATAGGTAACGACACACAAATGTACTTCAAGTCGGGAGCGCAAGGCCTATCAAGTGCAGCTCCAGTCTGAGGGCTCCGTATAGTAAACGCCGCAGACTAAGGAGCCAATGGGGAGTTGCGATGCCTCCACTGCTAAAGTTTCTATTCAATTCTATCGTGTTGCATGTGTTCCAACCTTATTTGGCCAGAACGCCTCAAATTCAAGAAAGACAATTGCTGAGACGTTTTTGTCTCTTATGTTTAAATGTGGAAGGGCCGGGAGTCAAGCCTTTTATCTACCTGCAAGCAGCTCCTCTTCAAAAGAAAGCTGGTTGTCCTCGTCGTGCCTGATATGCGGAAACAAGTCCTTCAGAATTCTCCCGAGACAATGATTAGTCTTCGTCCCGTTCCTTAAACCAATGGCCGATAATGAAAGAAGCAAGCTCAGTCATCAGTGTTACCAAGTTGTTGCTTAAATAGGCAGGTTCTATCGTGCTTCTACAGTTGGACGAAAGGCCGTCTTGGCAGTTCTTGGCATACTAGCAGTAACAAGCAGTTGAATTAATACAGTGCAACCACACAACGCTAGCGCCAGTTGTGAAGCTTGTCTGCCATTCGACCAACACCAAGACTTATCCCACGTCTGCCGCCCAGCCCCTCAATAAGATCAAGTTGATCAACAGATCAATTTAAGCTTATCGGTCGAAGCCGGCGCCCGACCTTATTACGACGAGCAATGAGCATGTTTAATTCCCTCGACCTGATCGCTTCATGCAAGGAGGGAACTTCAGCCGGGCCTTCGGACGAATCCCCACACTAACCTGACTCTCGCTTGGCTATCAACACTACTTACTTGACCGCAGAACACAGAAGGTGGCAGATATCGAACCCCGCGGCTTCCACGGATGGTTTTTGAACGACCCCAACTCAACCTCAGCTGCAATTGAGTCTTGGTATCAGCCAGATGAGGAAGGCGTATGGAGGAATGGAAAGACAAGTCTCGGGCTCGTTTCCGGTTTCCTTCTATCACCTGATGCGCCTTTTTACTTTGGTAGTACTGTTGTCATTGGACTTCCTGTTAGGGCATCGTTCCAAGCCGATTCAGCTCGCTGCAACGGACCGGGCAACTTCTACAGCCCCGAGAATAGAAGCTCAACAACGACAAGATGACTTTCATCAAGAGAGACTGATCATGGAGTATATATAGCCAGTTCTCTCGCCATCAAGGTTCCCCTTCTTAGCTCGACATCCCTCTCACCGCTCCTATCCAAGTCGTTTGTTCGCTCCCCGGTCCCCGGCTCACTCTAGTCATCATGCACTTCAACCTTGCCCTCGTCGCGGCTCTTGCCGCCTCCGTCTCTGCCGCGGTGACGCCCGCCGTCAGATTCGGCTGTGCTACTGAGGAGCCTTCCGCCGAGCACTTCGAGATCTCCAAGAAGCTTGCTGAGGAGGAAGCCGCCAACAACGGTACTGTCAGCCTGGCAGCTCTGGCCACTATCACCGTCCCTACCTACTTCCACATCGTGGCCTCCTCCACCACTGTGGCCAATGGATACATCACCGTAAGCCTTCTTAGCTCTATAGCTCTCCATACCTAGATCCACCTTGAGCGTACTCGAAAGTGAATATTACTAGAAGAGTCACTTACACGTGATATGCGTGTAGGACAAGATGGTCACCGACCAGTTGGCCGTGATGAACTCCAACTTTGCCCCCCACGGCATCCAATTCAACCTCGTCGAGACGACCCGTACCATTAACTCCGCCTGGGCCGGCTATAGCAGCCAGACCGCCATGAAGACTGCTCTTCGCAAGGGTGACTATGGCAGTCTTAACCTGTACTTCCTGAAGAGTGTCGGTGGTGCTTTCGGAATCTGCACATTCCCCACCACCGCCTCCGCCGGCTCTTCTGCTTTCATCGCCGACGGTTGCACTATCCTGTCGTCGACTGTTCCCGGCGGAAGCGAGACCAACTTCAACCTCGGAAAGACTGCCACCCACGAGATTGGTCACTGGTTCGGTCTGTACCACACCTTCCAGGGCGGTTGCAACGGTGGAGACTCCGTTGCCGATACCCCTGCCCAGGCTAGCTCTTCTTCCGGATGCCCTACTGGCCGTGACTCTTGCCCCAGTATAGCCGGCCTTGACCCCATCCACAACTACATGGACTACTCCTACGAGTAAGTGATTCGCCGAAGGTGAAAACACCAGAGCTTCTTGCTGACTTGAGATCTTAACTAGCTCTTGCTACGAGGAGTTCACCGCTGGCCAGCAGACCCGCATGCTGAGCTTCTGGAACAACTACCGCGCCTAAGTTATTGGCTTTGGGGCACTTTATTGACTTTGGCACTGGCACGGTTCAACTACAATATGCAATATGTACATATAGCATTCCATAGTAAATAATTGTCTGAATCAAAAGTCATATACCAGAAAGAGTTTCAACTTCGTAATCCTTCAGCCAACTGCTACTCGCAAGCTGGTCACGTCTCGGTTAACACCTTCGGAGTGAGGTCAGGCTTCATGCGCCTCTCTAGATCACAAAATACGAATTGCGGAAGAATGCATGTGCTCTTGAATGCATTGCGACTTGATCATATGCTTGTTTTCAATCTTCTTTGAGACTCAACGTTTCAAAGCTTATTTAACCCACTGATAACTGTAATCTTGTCCCTGGTGTTCCAGTCTCAACCCTCCACTTGCCTTCAAATTCTTGCCTCGACCGTACCGTAATGGGGATCGGCTCAGCGGGAGAATGTAAAGCCACAAAGAGCCCTTCAATCTCGGGCATTCTCCACTCCCTCCCCGATGGACCTTCGCCCTTGAATTCCGGCGCAACCTCAACGTCGAGATTCAAGGTCATCAACGCAATTAGCGTCATGGTACCGGCAGTCGCAAGCCATCGTGCCGGACAGACGTGAGGTGCCAGGTCTCCTGGCGCGGCTACGCCTGGCGTTTTGGGCTTCTTCTTCATCTTGATGAATCGATAGGCGTCGAAGGAGGTAGCATCTGAGCCCCATGTTTCCTCATTGCGGAGGATGGGAATGCCGTTGATCTGGACATAGTTGCCGCTCTTGAGAAGCTGAGTCTTATCGTCTACTGTGATTGCCGTGTCGCGAAGAACTTCACGGATGTGTGCGTGGATGGTGTGCAGGCGCTGCGCCTCCTGAATTGAGGAGAGGAGAAGCGGACAGGCGGACTTGAGGACGGAAATGTCCATGCAGAACTCCCCGTTTTCATCTTTTTTGACGGCTTTGCGGACTTCTTCGCGGATTGCATCTACGAGCCACAGGCGCGAGAATACCTCAAAGACAGACCACCAGGTTGTTGGCACGTAGTTGGCCAGCATAGCGATATCGAAGCCAACGTTGATACGCCCAATATCACGCGGAGACACTCCATTCTCTACCATTACACGTGATCGGCCTTTGATAAGACCTGATGCCGTCTCCGTGCCCCCGAGACGAACGTATTCTTCGTATCGTAGACCGTTGCGTTCCCTCGCTTGCATTGCCTTTTTTGCAAATAGATCGGCAATGATGCCCCCAGGCAGAAGCAAGTGTGCCTTGTCAGCAAAGGTCCTGCATTTGTTAGCTTTTCGTCTCAATCCCAGTTTTCTCGCACGGAGTAGTTAAGAGTTGAAGGAAAGTAAGTACCAGAAGTCGGCTTCATGATCAGGGTTCTTGAAAGGATTCAAAGGACCGAACATCCCTTCCGGTGCCGACAGCCCGACGGTGTGCTTCACCCAGGCAAACAAATCGATCGGAATGCCTGTTTCGGGTGACTTGAGGGCATCTGCAGCCAGCTTGTCAACAATTTCAATTTTCACCTGAGTTGCAACAAGACTCATGTCATCAAGTTCAGGACCAGCTGCCAGTGTCGTGCGCTGGACTCGATCAAATTCTTTGGCCTCGGGGCCGCCTCCCAGGTGATCTTGCAAGTTAGTGGCCTTCTCATCGGCACCGCTAAAGTTGTGTGACGCCTTGGCTGTAAAGGGCGCAAAAGAGATTGTCCTAGCATTGCGTTGGATCGACGAGATGAACTTGCGTTCTGCGAAAATGTAGAATTTGAAGGAGAAGATGGGCGCAGAAAAGATGTTAGACTTGGCATCGGCTCTGTCGAATCATGTCAGCTACGAGGTCACCAAGTTGAATCAAGTAGATGGGGACTTGCCCAATTTTGGTAAAGTAGTGGCCAGAGCCATACTTGTTGAGACCGAGAAGATGGCCGATCAATGGTACGCGGGGCCTAATGTACTCTGGCTCTTGCGGATTTTTGGAGAGGAAGAAGAAAGACTCGAGCAGGTAGCAGCCGATAACAACAATCGCGAAGACCGTGCCAGCCAGCGCAGGGAGCTCCATTGTGCAGGAAGCTAGTATTGAAATCAGTGGCGAAGGAAGGAAACAGCATAAGAAAGCCGCTCGCCAGCCCACGATACCTGCCCATTGCTCCTTATCAGCCTTGCCGTTCCGACAATATTAATTTCTTATTAGGTTCTACTAAGGGAGCCTCTCTTTTATACAAATAAATAGAGGAGACTAATTTCTTTTCCGAAATTTGCCCAAGTTATTAAACAGGAACGTTAGGTGAAGACGGTAGCCTGTAATATAGTTTAGATTAATATAGACTATATCGGCATAGCGCCCGGCACGTCCTTTTGTTACCAGACGTTAAATACATCATCATCATCATCATCATCATCATCATCGTGCCAAAAATGGCTCTGCGCAGCATCGTGCCGAAAATCCTCCGTTGATGACGGAACAACCGCCCAGTGGGCTTAGTTTGCAGAGTTCATGATTGACTAAAACTGAAAGATAGGAATTTAAGCTCGTGAAGTCTAGCTATCACCTGCCTCTCTGCATGATCTTCAACCAGAAATCATGCGTTATCCAAAATCCTGCACTCCACAATCTCATTGGCTTTTCAGGCTTTGCAATGGCAAAATCATACCTACGGAGAAGCTACAGTTGAACACGTCAGCAATAGCTTTAACGGAACGGAAAAAAACAAGAGCTTACCTCAACAAAGATCTTGTTCAACTCCATCAACGCAATGTTCCTGCCCATACAGTAAAACTTGCCATACCCAAAAACCATGTCGGTAGTTGAAATCATCGCCTTGTATCTTTCTTCGTCATCGGACATTGCTGCCTCTATCCACCTCTCTGGTCTGAATAGATGTGCATCTGGTCCGAAGATGTCTTTCGATCGGCCGATGCTGCACACATTCTCTCCCAGCTGCGTCCCAGGGGGCAACCGATATCCGTGAATGACATCCCCTTCTGACGGGACTTGCTTGCTGACGATGCCGGTCGATGGTGGGTATAGACGGAGGCCCTCGCGTATCACGGCTTGAAGATACGGCATAAACCTAGCCTCGTAATCTTTGATCGGAGAACTGATCATCTTCTTGGAGACGGCGGTATCAATCTCGGCTCGGAGGGCCGTAAAGGCTTGCGGATTTGATAGAAGCGACAGAAGCGTCATGCGGATTGCCGTTGCTGTGGTGTCAGAACCAGCAATACTATGAAAAAAGTCAACTTTTGAACCGATCAAGACCCTCGGTGAAGAAGGCCCTCTGACACTCACGTTTCAACGTAGACTTCCTGTGCCAGCTCTTCCCTCGTTAGACCAGCATTGATAAATGACTGGATCATGTCTCGGCCGGGCTTCGTGTCAGGAGCCAGCCGTCCATCAACAAAGGTTTTAGCAAACCTGACCCATGGACGTTAGCCATCTCACCTACTCGCTTGATCGGAATGCTCAATATTCACTCACCCCATAAGCGCCCCGAACCCAGCAGAGTCCCCTGACTTTGGCAATCCTAGATTCAGAGGCCAACTGTGCATAAGCGTTGCCAACCACGGCACGTTTCCCATCGTAATCATGACCGGAAAGAAGGCGTCTTTCGTGGCAACGTATTGATACAGGTCTCGGTCTTCTTTAAGGAAGCCGTACGGCGTGCCAAAACCGAGATCGCTGATGACATCCAACGCAAAATAGGTCGACTTGCTGGCCATGTCCATGGGTCTGAAGTCCTTTGCGGTCGAGATGTACTTGCGATCGATGAGGTCAACAAACGCAGCAACATTCTTATCTATACCGGCTTCAAATCCTCCGTTCTCCAAGCCCAAATACTGCGCTTTTGGTCAGCAAAGAGATTCAGGCCCATTTTGGGTAGGGATGAGCTTACACCAGGTCCCATTTTGCTCTTCAAATACTTGCGCTTCTCCTCGTCGCGCATCGAGAACAAATGGTCCTCACCTGGGGTGGTTCGTCCGACCGCATACCACTCACCCTTGATGTACTTACTGCGAGTACCGGAGATCTTTTTGAGCGTGTCGCCGTCGCTGAACATGACAGTATTGGGCCCAATACGAACCAAGGGGCCTGTACTCTTCATTAGCCTTTTCGCCATACGGCACCCACGGTATGAAGAGTGACGATGTGATCTCACCGTATTTCTCATGCAGTTCCATGTAATATTCATGAACGGATCCATTCAGCGCAGCTCGCGCCATCGAGAACCCAGTGATTCCATGCCAGAACGGCCCAGGGACATGAGACAGCCGATACCAAGAGTAGAATTCCTTCACAAGCAATCCGAAGACGGCGGCGGCGGCGATGACCATAACGACAGCCATCTTTTCAGTCGAAATATCCTCAAAATGACTAATTGATTGGAGGTATGTTGTAGATGATGAAGGGTCAAAGAGAGGTTCTCTGGCACAACAGAGAACGGCGGAGGGGTTGGAGTCTCAGCTGCTAGTTGGGTGCTACCGTAGTGCCATGTGCCAGCCATGCGGACGCCGCTTTCGGTGCAACCCCACGTCTCCAAAGCTTCAGGTCATCACATTTCGCTTCTGAGCCGCTCAAGTGACATCTCATTTGAGACGCCTCGCTGACTAAAATGAGACGTTCGACAGGACCACGAGACCTACCCGCCAGCCCAGGCTAAAAGAGGGAAAGCTGAACGAGATAAGACGGGATTTCTTATACTTGAAAACCGCCAGAAGAACCTCTACTCAACATCAACTGACACTTCTCAATGTGCACGCTTATCAGTTCTTCAGCCACTTTTGGAATTCTTGCGAGACTGTATGCATGAGGTCTGTTTGGTTAAGTTGAGTTATCTCTTTAGGATAGCTAAGACTTGAGTCCTAATTCACCCAACAACCTGCAATTACTACACTAGATGCTTCGGTATCACCGCATCAAAGACTGTTATCGACATGGTCTAGAAAGTCGCATTCAAAAGAAGTTCACCGTATCACCACCAGAATAAGGCATTATGAGTTTTCAATCGAGGTTTATTGCAGTTATAGTCAAGCTACCGCCAACGCGCCCCTTTGGCCCAGCAACCCGAAAATTCCATACCAATCTCTCGATGCACACCGATATATAATCGCCGTCCCCGCTCAGGCATTTCATCCTGATGATTTCGCACACGACCTCGACCTCGACCCGGAGGTCGCCAATCTTGGTCTCTTGTTTGCGCGCGAGCCTAGTATAGGCCAACGAGGATGTCACCTCTGACCCGAGCCGTGAGGTGAACTTCGGCCTCAAGGTCAAGCTTGATACCGACCATGAGGCCGGCGTCCTTGAGCTTGCCGTTGTCGTCAACGGGACCCTTGAGGAGGTTTCCTGCCGGAGCTTTCGTGTCAGTATTCTCTGTGGCTTCTTGACAAGAGGGTAGGGTAGTGGAGGCGGCGCCTTACCGATGGGTCCGTTGGCGGGGCCGGAGAGACCGGGCATGGGGAGAGAGTTACCGAAGCCGCTGTTCTGGTTGTTGGTGTTGTTGTTGTTGTTGATGGACTTGTTGTTGTTAGTGTTGCTGAGGGAGTTGTTAGGGTAGCTGCTGTTGCTCGTGCTGGAGCTGAGGGGGTTGCTGGAGCTGGTGGAAGTGGTAGACGGGTTAGAGGTGGTGGTGGTAGTCGGGGGAACCGAGCTCTTGGTTCTAAGGGGGAGGAAAATTCAATTGGTCGTGGGTTCAGACCTGTTGGGTGTGTTGGTTATACTTACGGGGAAGACATGGTTGCGGTGGTGGTTGATCGAGGACGTGGAGGGGGTAGAGGCGGGGTGGAAGGACGAGGAGATGAAGGTCGAGGAGACGACGGGCGAGAAGACTGCGAGAGCGAAGACGGCGGACGGGGGGAGGCCGGACGATTAGGAGAGGACGGTCGTGAAGAAGACGGTGATCCCAAACTTCGGACGTGGATGAACTTGAGCGATGGTCTCTGGCGAAGCTCAGGCTTTTCAGGCGGTGGCTGTTGATCCGGCGGAATCTTGTCGAGAGACTGCTCGGAAGGAGATCTTTTGCGAGAGTGCCTTGAGGCCGAGTTGTTATGAGACTGAGGAATCTTGGTGCTGCCGAGGAAGAAGACGGCCATGACAGCCGGGCATCTGCGTCCTCTTTTATGCTCTGCTCGACGGCCATGAAGTGAGACATTGTCGCACAAGACTAATATGAAGATTGGAGAACATCGTCCGATTTTCCTTTCGTCCGGACGTCGCCGTGGTACTCTGCTGCAGTGCTATTACTGTATTACTGTCGCCGCCGCCAGGGGATTATCGACAAGGATGCCATGGGAACTTGGCTGTGGAGATTTCTGAAGTGGAGAGACAGCTCATTGCCTCTCTGCCCGACGGGATGTTTCCCGCGCAGCTCCCAACAAAAGAAAGCACAACTATGCTTTCGGGGGTGATGCCTGCTGATCGGTGAGCTCTTCACTCAAGGTATCAAGAGAGGCTCGAACGGAATACATCGGGAGTAAAATTCTGCCAGACACTGGCATAGATCCATCCCCCGTTGGGCTGCAGTGTCCCCCTTTTCCCACCTGCCGGAAACACAACAGAGACATCTCCAACCCGCCCAACTTGAGGGCAAAATGGTCGCCCAATTCATCGTCGCCTTCTCGGCGGTCTTCGGCATGGCGGAAGCTATCCGACACACGCAACAGTCAGCCCGGAGAAAAGAGCATCGCAGCCGGAAAAATAACCTCATTATCCGATGCCGCAAGTCAACATGTCACTCCCCAGATATCCACGGCAAGCACGTAGTCCTCTCGGGAGACAAGGTATCTTCAGATCCAAGTCATTCAGCCCCCTCCCTTGGAGTTCCAACCTTTGCTAATGAAGCTACTCTTTCCTTTCCTAGCTGTTTGTCGACACCGGGACTGATCCCGACTCGGCGTTCGGACATCAGTTTGCGGGCTACTTCCTGCCGTACCCAGACAGCCAATACGCCGGCCTGGTCTCAACTATTTGCGACGAGCCGCCCATCATGAACTGGATCTACGTGGACCGGGACACGTACGAAGTTAAATTCGGGACCCGGCCGTATGCCCAGAACAATTACACGGGTCCGTTCGACTGCACCAGGCAAGACAAGCGACTCACCTTTGCGAGCTGGGAAGGGTTCTGCGTGGTCAAAACGGGGAACTTCTGGGCTCTCTACTTTGACGTCGAGCAGGATGGGCTCAAGTCAAAGCTTCCGGAAGGCGTGACTGCACTCGAGGTGGATATTTTGCGCGTTGAGGTGCCTGTCAAGCCGGTCAAGCCTGAGGAACAGGAGCAGGCCGAGGGTAAAGAATCCGGCCAAGAGGGCAAAGAGAATGGTAGCAGTGACGGCAACAACGACAGTAATGAAAGCAATACCAGCCTACAAGCAGGAGCAAATGAGGTGGAGCTGGAGTCTCCCGAGGTTGACTGATGTGTGGAGATACCAGTGGGGAAGGGCAGCAAGGGAAGGCATTTCATGGCTTCGAGGAGAAAGCTGTCGTCCAGAAATAAAACAGCCAATGTGCTCAGGGCAGCTTCATGAATGGGAAAACAATTCCATGCCTTTAATCCCAGCTATTGCCTTGCCGAGTCTGCAAAGTGGTGGCCTATCGGACGACTCCCGCCTTCGATTCGCAAGGATTCATGTATCACATCTTTCCATGATAGAGAAAAATACGGCTTCCAATGGCGAAGGGGGAAGTCCCAGCCGCCCTAACCCCGGATTCCATATACCTCTCTCAAGTCTTGCCCCATCGATGTCCACTCAGACTTGCAGTTGCCCATCCTCCTACGACCAGATCAGCGCATCCTCCGTCAAGACTTTTACGACCTGGGTGAGGTCCGCGGATGAACAGGGGTCATGCAGATCTCCCGCTGCCAGTCGTCGCTCGACTCCATAACCCGCGAGCTGAAGTCGGGACGAAACAGACCCTGCGGCCAGGCCTCATCCTGGTACCGATCATGGAGCCGTCATCGTAAATCTGAGCTTCGAATTCCGACTTTTGCCTATACGACGCGTACATGTAAGCTCGTCTCCATATTTGACCTTACAGATACTTCAAACATAGCATTGCGAAAACTTCTTCTCCCTCATCTTGCCGAGAGGATACCCCGCCCTATTGTCAGTTGTCCCTGAGACACTAATGGCACCAGCCCTGCTGCATGGCGTGACTTTGAAGGTTTGTGTCCACCTTTTCCCGGTTCCGCTGCGAGGCGGCCGACGGCTGAGGCTCGAGAAAAAGCAATGCCGCGGCGCTAAGTCCTTACAATGGGGGCCCGCATTGTGATATCGCGCCAGTTGACCGGAATTTGATTTCGCTGTGAAGTCACGCCACATTTGAGGTTGATTTATTTGAAGGTTGATTTATTTGAGGTTGATATATTTTCCATTTCTCACACATTGGCGGTCAAGTTCAACTTGGGTTTTACTCATCGACTCATTCGTTTGTATTTGCAGTTCGGTGACCACTTTCTTTTGCTCCCGTTCCTCATAATCCGTGCGAGATCACAAGTCTTTGACCGGTTGCTTGATGATCTGATTCTGACAAATTGAACTCTCGAAGAACCCTGAAGCGATGTCCTCGCAAAACTCAGCAAATCAACAACGGCAAGGCAAGCCTGGTGCGTTGGCAGATACCCCACCCAGATCGCTACCCCACACCCAGCCTCATCCCACGCTGGCTGACGGGATCAACCTCGCGCATGCCGGGACCTTACGGCGTTGGAAGTTCGTGAGAAGTATTCCGGGTGGAGACAAGACTCACACTCAAGAGTCAAGAGAAGGAGAGAAAGCGGGGTGAGACCTCGACCCGGCCCGGTCCAATGTTTCCAAGACTGAGACCGGACTGTGGTCTTTGCATTTTACAGAGGCATAGGAGTGGAGCTGCCGCAGTGCCAAGAGATGCTATTATTACTGTTGTGCGACTGAACACCACTCGAAAGAGTGTGACGAGCTCAGCAAACTCCCTTTGCAAATTCTCAATGCCTTCACAACGGCCTGTCGTGGGAGATGCAGTGAGGTAGCAGAAGCCAGAGTCTACATGTACCCGGCGCTCAATCTCCTCCATAATATCCTCCGTGCCGTCCTCCACAAACTTTGAGCTGGCTCCTCCCGGTCCTCAAGCCCGGCGCCGCCGAGACGCCCCGAGATCCACTTTCTCGGGATGTTGTGCAGAAAGTCCAAATCGATTTTCTAGCGCTCGTTACCTCGCATCCCGGGGACCATCGTGACTATGCATCCACTTGCAACGTGCGTGAAGCCGTGACAGCTTCAACCCTGCCAGTGAAGCCTTTTGGTGCCAACACCGCCGTGAATGCTCCACCTACTTATTCAATGTTGCGTCGTCGTGGAGGTAGAGAGTTCCGGGGCCCGGCGGGGTCAGACTTCTGAAATATCCACATCGGAGCCCGGCGAGGTCCAGCCACACGACAAACTTCTAAATAGCAAAGCAAGGCCCAGCCTTGTCTAGATCTCTCGCTTCCCGCCTTGCTGCCTCGCTGGCCTCGCCGTCTCAGCCGAGTGACGACTCGCGAGGCCGTGAGAAATAATAGAGTACTTTCGTTGGGCCGACATCACCCGAGGAAGAGGAGGTGGAAGGGCCCGCAATTTGATCCTGCAGCCTGCCGCAGTGGCCTGATTCCCCAAGGCTTCGTGGCCCTTGGCATATGGTCCATCCTGGTTATGTCTCGAGCTTCGAGCTCGAGGGTCTGCCAAGGCTTCGTAAATACCATCTCAAGAATGATTGGCATTGGATTTTATCCGGTAGGCGGCCAGGTGAGACACGAATGTGCTGCAGTACTTGCCTTGCCGATGCAAAGTCATCATCCTGTCTTCACATCTTTGAGGGGCCATTGAAGAATTATGTGATCATTCTCGGAATGTTCCTAGACCCCCTTGAATCTCCCTTCCTTACTGGCTCACTTCCAAGTTCTGCTGGTTACATTTGTCAAAGATCCATTCGAACTTGTCTGGGCATCGAGGGTGCCAACTGCACAAGGCGGGCTCACTCATCCTCCTGCCAAAGGGGCGGGACCGTCGTCGATCACTCTCGGGAGATTTAACTTTCCCACATGAGCATGATCTGATCTTGGGTAGGTACCTTAGACACTGGCTCCCTATTGGCCCTCCGACTTCGGGAGTTGATGACGAGACCAAAGGTGCATATTCTCGTCAATTTCCAATGTTTCAATGGCGCACCTGCAGCTCGGATAAGTGTCGATCAAACAAGATCATCTCTTGCGGCAAGGAATTCGGCAGTGACAACTCTCTTAAGGTAGCATGAAGTTAGCCTCCTTGGCGAGAGAACGTGAACTGCATCTTGATTGGGTGGCCATCCAGGTTACCTTCGCCGCATAATATGTCGACCTTGACATGTCCTTCGCCGAGATTTCAAAGGCAGTTCATCCTGTTAAGTACCGGTAGTGTAGCAGTTAAGAGTGTATAAAACGGACTCAGGGCACTCTGAAGTAAGACTATCAGGCTACTAGTAGGTATCAATATTATATTTTAGGAAAAGGCTGCATTCGTTTGCCGTGCAGCACGGAGACCGTAGTCCTCTATAAGTAATTACATAAGAATAGACATTATCCCTCGCTCAATCATGATTTATGTCGACTTGAAGGAAACCGTCGCGTTGGACTTTTGCAACTTTTCGAGCTCATCCTTGAGGATGTACAAGCTCAACCTCACACCGGCACCGCAGTACTCGGTGCTGTTGCCGGGACACGTGAACGAGCAATCCTTGGCCGTCACGTTGGCAGCGGGCGCTGTATCACTTCCGCCACCAATGTTGAGGGCGTCGCCACACCAGCACTCGCGACCGTATTCGACGCCGGCGTAGTTCTTGTCGTAGCAGGCGCTCAGACACATGTTGATGGTCATGTTGTCGCGGTTGATGATCTGTGCGGGAAGGAGACGGCCAACTTCCGGCTCGGAGAAGCAGCCGTAGTAGGTGAAGTTTTCGTTGCCAGTGGAGATGACTGGGCCAGTTGGGGTGGCGGTGGCGGAGGAAGAGGTTGACGTCTTGGTTGACGATGTGGAAGTGGAAAGAACTGAGGAGGTGGTCGGGACCGATGAAGTAGCCGGTGCTGTGGTGTTGGAGAGCACAGT